TATATATATATATATATATATATATATATATATATATATATATATCTCAAAGGTTTGGCAGTAAAATAGTCTATTACCCAATCTATCGGCAATCTTACCAGTTTATTGGGATAGCGAATCACAACAGGCTGCACTGGAACACCAGGAATAAAAGCTCCTAAAAGAAAAAAAGAAAACAAAGTTTAGATAGATAAATCATCATAGCTGAAAACCTGGAAACACATAAACAGAGCTATTGAAATACAACACCCAAAGCCAGATTTCTGTAGTTTATATGTCATGAATCTACCTTTAGGAGTTTAATAACAACTTAAACTTAGTCTATTTTGCTGATCACCCTCCACATGTCTCTGTGGTTCAAGAAGTATCTTGCAAAAAGTATCAAGTTATTTTCAGCACAGTGTAAATTGATATCTAGAGGACATTATTCTTTGTTTTTCTGAAGAGTTACACTTTAGGAATTTCTGCTTTAATGGCTCATCTGTTGGATAGACGACTTGCAGCCTTTGATTCCAACGTGCATCAAAAAAAAAAAAAAAAAAAAAAACCTTGTTACCAATCACCATGTCGCTGGTTCACCAGTAATAATCAGTGTTATTTACTTATTATGTCAGTGGTCATTAATGATATTTGATTTTGTTAGTGCATATTATTAGAAAGAGCCCAAAATAAAAGACAGGCCTAAAATAACCCAATTTTCACATTTGGACTCACTTTGTTTAATGTTGTGTAACATTCTTTCAAATGACAAAAAGTGTGGTTTACTAGTGGCAAACCACACTTAAAAGCAAGCCTTGAAATCAGCTGTACTTTAGTGAACAAAGTTTTGACTGAATGCCTGGAAACATGTTACCTGGTTTAAAGGTAATGAGGCAGGATCTATTGGTGCAGGTCCCCTCTGGAAAAATCATGACCTAAAAGTAAGAGTAGGAAATGAATCGCTGATAAAACAATATGTTCTATCATTGTTTATGCCAGTAGGAACAATACAGTGTTTGTCTTAAGTACGATATGCAACACGGCAAGTAATACATCCCAAAACGATCCACCAAATGTTACTATGAATCATTTGTGTGACTCTATGTAAGTTTGTTTAAAAAAATATAAATAGAAGTCAAAAAGATTTAGCATAGCTGCAATCACCTTGGTAAATTAGACAAGAAAAAAAAAAAAAAAAAAAAAAAAACAGTTCCTGTTAAAAGGTGCTTCTTTTGGTGGATTATTAGGCCACAACAAAATTACAGTTTTGTCAATCCACTAACTTGAGGCCAATCTCCTCCATAATGAGCCCTCCGCCTGATCTCCTCCACTGTCTTCTTTCTTGAGTTCTGGTCTGATCGGGATACAAACACCGGCCGAATGTATTTTATCAAAGCTGGAAGAGACGCACAGAGTCGAAAAATGAATATATAACACAGTTAAGTCAAGAAAACATTTGTGTTATTTCAACAAAGTAAAGCAAAGTAAAGCAATTTCAAAAGCAAAAGAGATTATGATTAAGAACGAAAATGACATTAAGGCACTTCTGCATGTCTTACTTGCAGTTGGAGCCGTTAAATAAGTTAACACCAAATCACTCCTGACAAACATGTCATGTCAAACATGCTTATTGGCAGACATTTTTACAAGTCTGCAGTACAATTAGATAAAAAGCAGAAGCTTGAGGGAGTATTACATCTCATTATGGAAACTTTAGAAAACAGTTATATTTGACTGAGCGCAGCATTAATAAGTAAACCCATCTGTGTTATGTTTGGGTCAAAGAAACCACAATTAGTCTGCTATTTTAAACACAAGTTCCTCAAAGACAGAAGCATGAGTCAGAATAGCCTCATCTTCAGATCGTAAATGTAAGATAGGCCTCGCTTCTTTTTATAAATACAGTCAGTAAATATGAGGCTACAAGGACACAAGCGATCATTTAACTTCATTTTAGTTTAATCAAGCTCCACAATGTCATTGTTCCCCGTTAAACTGTATTGTTTCTTCTTGGAACTTGCACAGCTATTTTTATATACAATGACGCATGACAGGAACTTAGCAATGCAGAGTTCAGTTTCAGTTTAACCGATAGCTGTGTAGTAGCGGCCATGTACTGTGGCCGCTACTATACAAGCACTCCAGTTAGTAATTCTGGCTAGTCAAAATAATAAGCATGTTTATATAATCTGAGTTTATAGCTGAACTTAGATTATTTGAATTAAAGTACATTAAAATAAATAAAAATATGGAAATGGATGTAAAATATTCAAATACAAATTATTAAAAGGAGAAATAAATAACATTTACCAAACTGAGTCTATAAATTATGTTTAAGGAGCCATTGGTGCAAAAATTAGCTGGACTGAAAATATTTGAATATAATCACTGCATTCTGTTTTAAACAATATTTTGTTGTGGAAGTGGAGGCTCTGGCACTGCCTTATGCCTAATCTTGGTTGATGCAGAACCAATTTGTTTAAACAGACAAAAGCATGGTGTACGTTGATGCTGCTGCTGGCCATCCAGATTATTTCCCAGTGAAGCTGTCCGTGCTTTTCCTCGTGCTAGCTGTATCTGTCACGACTCTTCCTCGTTTTTATGCAAACTAACTTCCACCAAAACAAAGCCCAACCAACACGAAGCATCACTGGTTACATTGGCTTAGTACTTTTAGAATGACTAAAACTAAGGCTATATGCTTTAGCAAGTTCCCATAATTCATCACTCTACAGATGTGGGAAAGCGACATAGATGTGTAATGTGATAAACCCAACTCAAGGTTAAGGAAGATGTACTTTAATTAGGAAGATAAACAGTTTAAATCAGCTAAAAAATAAACAAAAAAATCTGACAAAACACAGCACACTGACAAATAATTACAAAATGCAGCTTTCAATATTACTTCCTGGGTCTAAACTCCTTCACTCCTTAAAACTAAAAGGAAGCTTTCACAACATTAAAAAAGGTAAACGTTAGCTATTGGCACTAACAGAGGCATACTGCACACGGAAAAGTACAATCAATATGACACTGGGTTAAAGATTCAGATGGCAGTTGTGTATTTCTTGATATTTTTGAATGTTCAAGCTTAACCAGTTGAAAACCAAATCCTCCAAACATGTTTGAGAAAAAAAATAAAAAATTAAAGGGCATGAAAAAAAAAAAAGATAATGTAGTATTTGAAAAAAAAAATGAGGTGGAACTACTTGAAGAAAAAGCTGCTTGTGATTGAGTTTCCTACTGACAGGAAGGGATTAATGCTAGCTCCTTCCAAAAGACATTCTGCACACGTGACTGCAGCTGATCATGTCTTAATGCTCATTATGGGTTCCACATGCTTGGCAGGCTCTGCTTCCTGGCTCCTTTTACAAAGGCAATAGGACTGAAATTTAAGATTGGCAAGTCTTATTATTTTCACATTGTCATGACTGTTTCAGAGTCAAACAAAAGCTGTGCAAAAAAAAAAAAAGAAAAATTAATTAATCTAGTGTTGCATATATTTGATACCTTAGAATACTACAACGCACCATCCCAGCATATTGCAGAGTGTTGATTCTCACAGACACTGCCAGAAATATTATGCACCAATAGTATGTCATTTCAATCTTGCAATGCAAGCAAGTAAGAGCGTTTTAACTTGGCTGAGCTCCACTCAGCCTGGAGCTAACAATGTGGCAAATTGCTGACTTAGTTGACAGGGCAGGATGAGGTGAAAGAGAGGCTAAAATAAGACACAAACCTTGACTGTGTCCTGCTTAGAGGTGTATATGATCCAATGTCTTCCCTGGCAGGTAGAAGGGTAACTTCACATGCAAGCCACTTAATAGGATATGCTGTCAATGTGGTGTGACTGCAGTCTGCGACTAAGGTCTACCTGATGTCTGCATCGGCTCTGTGTACAAGCTCCTGGTCTGGGTTTTGATAAAATTAAATCAATAATAGCAGGAGAAAATAATATGTTTACTTCAGATAAACCTGAAAGAATTTTGTAGGAGTTAGTAGAAAAGTGTCTTCTTGTCAAATATTTAGCAGTCAATGAGCAAAATGTATTTAGCAAATTGAAACTTTGAAACTAAGGTTAGCTGAAATTCTAAATAAATCAATGTTTACTTGAAATTAAAAGAGTTTTCCTATTCCTAGAATAACTGAGGACATTTGAGTGTTGCCTTAGCAACTCACTGTATTTAAGAGCATAAAATTATATAAGTATATGCATGTTTAAATTAACAGTTTACCAAATTAGCTTTTGGGGACGCTGAAAATTTTGACAATGATTTTACAGCTCAATCTCAAGCCTGTTCCTATAAACACACACACACACACACACACACACACACACTGCTAAAATGTGGGAAAAATGTTCAATCATAACTATGGCGTAGGTCAATAGTGACCTTTGATAACTAAATAAGGTGAAGTGTGTGCTGTGTCATTTTTAATAAATGGACCAAGTCTGTTTAGTTTGTCACCGCGTTGACCCGATTTGAATTGTTTCCTTTATGACCCCAGTAGCAGTCCTTATCGACTGTCAATATTTGTTTTGATTGTAGCAACTACTACTCAGCATAAAGTCCACACTACCTTATCAGGGAAGCATAGTGACTGATAGTGCAGGCGATCCAAATCAGCTTATTTAAAATACTGACAAAGTAAAAGCTTTAGCTCTATTACAATTTTAAAGCAATAATTTGTGGCATCAAACCAAACAATGTCATATGCTACATGTGTACTGAATGATTGTTTTGTTTAATGGCAACAGCAAACATTTTAGTACATTTTACTTACTTCCCCAAACGGGTATGTCCTTGCTCTCAGCCTTCATGACTATCGAGGACATCGTCATTGTGACGGGGATGGCGTCAAAGTAAGAGGAGTGGGGTGCCAGGGTGATGATGGGTGCTTCTGTAGGCAGAGCTCTTTGACCTTTCACAGTTATCCAGTGAAAGCCTCCCGCAAACCACATGATCCGCATGATCACTCTTAGGATGATGTCCACCAGTCTGTGAACAAAATTTGGCATGACTTGGTGCTCTTTTCATTCAACTTTCATTGAACTTTCAACTCAGTATGGTGCATTTTGCTTAAACAGCAGTGCTGGTAATATGGGAGGTTTGTGAGATGGGCTGACACAGAGAAATAATTTAGATATGAAAAAAAATAAATACACTGGTTCTGATAATGTGTGTTTTGAATGAAAACCCAAACCTGGTATGTATTTGCATGATACCCCTCTGAACAAGTTAATCGACATAATACCAGCTAAAAGTCTTTTGGGGTATGTCTTCACCATGTCTGCATATTTGAACTGGGCCATGTTTTCTTTTAATTTTATTTTTAGATCACAGATTTAAAAGTTCAAAACTTGGATGTTTTAAACTTGGCATATTGTTTTATAACCCAACTGCAAATAAATCTGTCCAAAACTTATTTATTGATTTGTCTGATTGTCATTTGGTAAATACAGTTCTCTAATAAACCCTCAATGTCTGAAAAAAAACTGCAAAGATTAAATGATACAAAGAACATCTGTGACTTTTCTTGAACACCAAAAAAATAATAATTTTTAAAAATGTTGAAACAAATATCTGTTAGTAATGCAATAGTTTTTGTTGATATGACATGTTATAAAGCAAAAAAAAAAAAAAAAGAAGAAGACAGGGTTAATCTCTACAATCAAAAAAGTTGTTTCAGCTTTCCTTACATCAGTGCAAACATTTTTTTCAGAGACACATTTGAGCAGCAGAGCACCTACCTCCTCCAGAGGCACTGGGGTTCAACAGTGGTCTCAGAGCGTCCCACTGAAGCAAGGAAGGCAAAAGGCCAAGCCAGCAGCATCATAAATGCTGCTATGAGCAGACGGATAGGAAATAGTGTCACCGTCATTAATCCAATCTGTTAAAGAGTAAGAGGAGGGGGAAAGAAGTGTTAAACAATCATTGCATCATGTCTTCTCAGTAGAAACTCACATAATGGAATCAAAACTACTCTAACATGAGACAAAGTTTTGGTGATGCACCAATGCATAACCATTGGATGTTTGAAAAATGTTAGATTTTAAGGATGGATGGGGCCGTAACAACCTCGTCCCCTCAGTAAGAGAATTGAAGATGGGTTGTGGCTGGACAATGACCCAAACACACTCAGGGGCCAATCAAGTAGTAGCTCTGTAAAATTAATTTCAAGGTCCTAGTGTGGCTGAGCCAGTCTTGAGACCTGATCTCAACAGAAAATCTTTGGAACGAGCTGAAACTCTGTGTTGCCCAGCAACAGCTCCGAAGTCGGAAAGATCTGGAGATCTGTACAGGCTAAAATCCCTGCTGCAGTGTATGCAAACCTGGTGACAAACTACAAGAAACAGACTTCTGCACCAAACATTAAGCTCTATTTTATATCATTCTTATTATGAGCAATAAAATAAACATTTAATTATTCAAAAATAAACAATGCGATTAGTGGATCCTTGTTTTTTAAACAATATGTCATCTTCATTTTTTGCATGTCAGAAAACTTGGAAAAGAATAAATCATTGGTGCATCAAATGTTTATTTTCCCCAGATACTGTGTCATAGGCGCACAGCTAACATCTTCTTACTTGGACGCCCTCTGGGTGTCTCAGGTCCTTAAAATCTTGGACATCCACATAAAAAGAAGCTTTCAGCCATGTGCTGTAAGAGAACTGACTTTTAAGAACAGGAGCAAGCACCTAATTTATTGCAACAAGTGTGCAATATTTATAAAGCAAACCCTGAATTGCATAAGGATTTTAAAGTACACCACATACAATTTTACAAAAGCAGTTCTCACTCTTGAAAGGGGAACAAAAGCTGGCATTGTTGACACTCTGAAAATTATTACAAGTGGAATGCATTTTCCTAGTTGTCATTTACCACTGCCCTAATGAACATAGTTCTTGGGATAATTACTGTTCAATGAAAAGACCCAGAAGGTGCATTTAAATACCAGCTTTAATGACAGTGTTTCACTAATGTCACACTGTTTTAGTGAACAGCTGCACAGTTTGTTACTGTTGTGCTTTTGTTTAAATCAAGTAAAGATGCATATTTTACTCTGGGCTATAAACGCAAAGCAGTTTCAGGTTAAAGCTTTCTTGTGAATAACAAGCAAACATACAGTGAAAGAGGAAGCAGTAGTAAAAAAAAAAAAAATATATATATATATA